GAGATGCAACAGTAATACTAGCAATAGTGTGAGATGCCACAGTAATACTAGCAATAGTGTGAGATGCCACAGTAATACTGACAATAGTGTGAGATGCCACAGTAATACTGACAATAGTGTGAGATGCCACAGTAATACTAGCAATAGTGTGAGATGCCACAGTAATACTAGCAATAGTGTGAGATGCCACAGTAATACTGGCAATAGTGTGAGATGCAACAGTAATACTAGCAATAGTGTGAGATGCAACAGTAATACTAGCAATAGTGTGAGATGCCACAGTAATACTAGCAATAGTGTGAGATGCCACAGTAATACTGACAATAGTGTGAGATGCCACAGTAATACTAGCAATAGTGTGAGATGCCACAGTAATACTAGCAATAGTGTGAGATGCCACAGTAATACTGGCAATAGTGTGAGATGCAACAGTAATACTAGCAATAGTGTGAGATGCAACAGTAATACTAGCAATAGTGTGAGATGCCACAGTAATACTAGCAATAGTGTGAGATGCCACAGTAATACTAGCAATAGTGTGAGATGCCACAGTAATACTAGCAATAGTGTGAGATGCCACAGTAATACTAGCAATAGTGTGAGATGCCACAGTAATACTAGCAATAGTGTGAGATGCCACAGTAATACTAGCAATAGTGTGAGATGCCACAGTAATACTGACAATATAGTGTGAGATGCCACAGTAATACTGACAATAGTGTGAGATGCCACAGTAATACTAGCAATAGTGTGAGATGCCACAGTAATACTAGCAATAGTGTGAGATGCCACAGTAATACTGGCAATAGTGTGAGATGCAACAGTAATACTAGCAATAGTGTGAGATGCAACAGTAATACTAGCAATAGTGTGAGATGCCACAGTAATACTAGCAATAGTGTGAGATGCCACAGTAATACTGACAATAGTGTGAGATGCCACAGTAATACTAGCAATAGTGTGAGATGCCACAGTAATACTAGCAATAGTGTGAGATGCCACAGTAATACTAGCAATAGTGTGAGATGCCACAGTAATACTAGCAATAGTGTGAGATGCCACAGTAATACTAGCAATAGTGTGAGATGCCACAGTAATACTAGCAATAGTGTGAGATGCCACAGTAATACTGGTAATAGTGTGTGATGCCACAGTAATACTGACAATAGTGTGAGATGACAGAGTAATACTGGCAATAGTGTGAGATGCCACAGTAATACTGGCAATAGTGTGAGATGCCACAGTAATACTGGCAATAGTGTGAGATGCCACAGTAATACTGGCAATAGTGTGAGATGCCACAGTAATACTGGCAATAGTGTGAGATGCCACAGTAATACTGGCAATAGTGTGAGATGCCACAGTAATACTGGCAATAGTGTGTGATGCCACAGTAATACTGGCAATAGTGTGAGATGCCACAGTAATACTGGCAGTAGTGTGAGATGCCACAGTAATACTGGCAATAGTGTGTGATGCCACAGTAATACTGGCAATAGTGTGTGATGCCACAGTAATACTGGCAATAGTGTGAGACGACAGAGTAATACTGGCAATAGTGTGAGATGCCACAGTAATACTCCCCTCAGCCTGCATCAGCAAAAATTAAACCTCCTACTGCTTGTCCAGAGCAACTCTGGACAAGCAGTAGGAGGTTTAATTTTGCTGATGCAGGCTGGGGAAGAGCATCAATATTTGTGGTGGGCCTTGTAATCTCTTTCTTCCCACTGGCTGTGGTCTGGAGAGGGTATGCAATGTGCAGCTGATTGATTAGGGCCCGAGGCCTAGGAGGCCTTTGCATGTGCTAGATGTAAATGCCCATGAGCAGAAGAAGCCTGCTTGTCCAGTGTGGTCCTGCTACTAGAGGTACAGGGTCATAGGGCACATCTGTGTGATGGGACCTTCTTCGGCTGAGGATGGTGGTCTTTGTGCTGAGAAAAAGAAGAAAGCACTAGATCAGCACTTCTGAGAGTAGAAGAAGGCTCTGGTAAAGAAGAAGGCAAGAAGGTACTTCTAAGTGCAGTAGTAATCAGCAATTTGTTATATTATACGGTTAAAAAACACTCACAAGATAGTAGACTCATTATCAATCTTTCCTGTCAGGGTCTCTCCTCTTGACTGCTGACCAGCAGCTGCAGGGTGAGGTTGGAGCACAGGTCAAGATGGCTGCCACTATTCCGGAAACCCACGTGGAACGCACTCTGTGCGCGGGTAGGGTATGTACTGGAAATTAAGTCAGGAAAGGGGCAGTGACGCAATTCAGGACATTATTATTATTATACAGGATTTATGTAGCGCCAACAGTTTGCTCAGCTCTTTACAATATAACGGGAGACAATACAGCAACAATACAGTTCAATACAAGAGGGATAGGAAGGCCCTGCTCCTTGGAGCTTACTATCTAGGAGAATGTGCGAGCAGCTCCTTCTTCAAGATCTATGGTCGTTCTGGAATAGTGGTGGCCATCTTGACTGCGCTCCAACCTGTTGGCATGTGAGAGGAGAGACAGTGACAGGAGCAGTGACAGGAAAGATTGATGATGAGCCTAATGTCCCCTACTATCTTGTGAGTGTTTTTTTAACAAATTGTTGATTGCTGATTACTACTGCACTTAGAAGTGCCTTGGGGTCAGGGACTTTTGAAGAGGACAGAAGTCTTGAAGGAGAAGTAATGCCTAGAATGGAGTTCTAGAAATGACTCTGTGGCTGGAGATCCTGAGGACAAGGAATTCACAGAGAGCCTAGGAGAGCATCAGGAGTTTCACTGAGCCTGCTGTTTGTAATCAAGATACAGTTTTTTTTAAAAAAAGGTGCACTCTGCTGCTTCCAGCTTAAAGGCCCTTTTTTGCTTGTCCTGAGGTCTGTAGATGGAGTTGAGCTTGCAATTCAATAAGGGTGTTTTCAATCACTACCTCTCTTTCCCACGTATCCCTGTGAGGATTAAAGTCTTTACAAAAACGGATGCCCAATTGTAACATATCCCCCACCTTACAGCCATGCTATCCCACCCTGTTTCTGGGGTACCACAAATGCCTCTAAGGATCAGGGGGTGCTACATAATTATAAAGGAATTGTGAGGTAAGAGCAGGGGCGGACTGACAACTTATGGGGCCCCTGGGCAATAGGGGATCATGGGGCCCCTGTGTCCTCACCCACACTCAAACCACACCCAAAAAAGCCTATGAAAGGTACCAGGGGCATCTCATGGGGCCCCCTACTGACCCCGGGCCCTCGGGCTCTGCCCGAGTTCCCAAATGGTCAGTCCGCTCCTGGGTTAGAGACATACGCAGGATGTAATTGCATTTAAAAATGCTTATTCCAACGTCTATACTACTTACTGGATCACTAACCTAGGACAATCATGACGCAACTAAGATCGCAGTGGAGTCGTAATGTCTGACTGATATATTTGTTCCATGTCAGTGGCTTAGTAGCATGGAAGCTATGAAACCAGCATGACAGCCAGGCAAGTGCAAATACATGCAGGGCTCATGTCTGCATATTCATTGTATAATCACGTCTGGTGATACCACCATACTTTGTAACTATATGTCTCTTATAAGATAGTATAAATATAAAATAAGGCTCTCTTTTAAATTGTCATTTGTTAGAAAACGTTTTTGTCTAATGTGTGCCTTAAAAGTCCCACCAACAAGAGGGCTTCCCTGTGACAGCCAGGCAATGAACATTTTCAGAAGTACAGCTCAATGATGACAGCCTACATATTATCTCACTACAGGTTTCTTTTAATCAGCTGGATCTCCACACTACATTATCGGATTATTAGCATACAATATATACTAGCCGGAGAGAAAAAGTAAAGAACTGAAAACAATTCATACTCATTTTCACAAATGACCATGTACATGCTTATTTAATATGCTAAACCTAATTATTTTTGCTCTCTGGTTCAACAACACGCTTTAGTGTGACAAAACTTTGTTTCCTGTGTCGCTGAACAAATACCAGCGGTAATGAAATTTGCCAAGTTAAATAGAAAATGTACGTAGAGTGCCATTTGCGACATTTGTTCAATAACTATATCTAATAACAGATGAGAAATATGATACTTCAGCCCCCCTGTAGGTGTTAATTACATTATATTAACCAGTGCTATTTCCCATGTCTAATTACATCATTAGTCAATGGAACAGAATGAATTAAAAAGACCAGCAAGCAGGAAGGTCGCAGGAAAATGGCACATTCATCACATTTACTTTATATTCCGTGAAAGGAAAAAAACTGTGCAAACAAGCTAAGGACTAAGCAGGAAAGGTGAGGGGGATGAAGTTTTGACAAATATAAGGAATTTAATCAGTACTTAATATACATGGTGATAGACAAACATTCTGCATCACATGCACTAAATTTCAGGGCCATTCTTTTTTTTTTTTTTAACTAAATATATATATATATATACATATATATATATTAAAAAAAAACAGGAACACCATTCAAAAGACGTTTTCCACTAAAATCAGTGAGAGGAACCATTGAACTTTGTGTTGTGGATGACCTCGAATACAGTAACGTTCCGGAGGTGTGGGCAGCTGGAAATCTTCAGTGAGTTTTAAAGTGTCACTAAATGCACAACAGTAAAATCAGGCTGTATATGCAGTAAATCATGCTTGTTATACTCACTGTGGATCCTAAGGGGTTAATCCTCCACGTTGTGTAACAAAGATGTTTGATCCTGTCTTCTCTGTCACTCCCCTTTTTCTACTGTCCCCAATTCATCTCCTGATAGAACAGATCCTTGGGGGCAATTTGCACATATTCAGTTTGGTGTGTATTGCTAGATAGTGTTTTTTTTTTCTTGAGAGAGTGCATGTGATCAGCACAGGGCCAATCAGCACCGTCCAGAAAGAGGGTCAGGGGTCCTGCAGTCTCATAGGGCAATCAGGGGAGAATGAAAACTTCTACAAGCTTTAACTAGTGCTCAACTGGACACTGATAGAAGTCAGAAGACTGCTCTAACTGCTGATGAGAAAAGGTATTTGGCAGTTTATATTTACTAAAATAATTGTATTTCCATGTATTGTAGGGACCAAATATAGTGAATGCAGGGTCCTGGGTTTAGTAACAAGACTCTTGTTTTGCAGGTATGTCCATTTAAATTTTTTTTTTTACATTGTCACTTTAGGAAATCAGACAGTTTATGTTTTTGTCATAGAAGGCGACCCAATAGGTATGGATTAAAGAACCACATAAGGGAACTGTGATCCTGTGTGTATGGTCATCATAAACTAATGGAGGATATATTTATACTTTACCACAACTTAGGCCACTACCTAAAATTACAAATAAATATTTAAAGAATATGTTACCCTCAACATTTCACATCCCAGGTATATGCCTGCTGTACCATGTACTTGTTAAAAAGTATCCTGTTCCCTTTGTATTGCTTCCTTTGTGTGAGATCCCTGGTGTTCCTGCCAGTCCCCCTGCTTTCCTATTTCAAACTGATCATGCCAGGCATGAGAGCACATCCTGCCTGTCCTCCAATGATCAGACTTGTGCTGACATGTCCCTTGCACAGGCATTCACTGGGAAGATCAATGTACTGTTGCTTCTCGCCCCCAGCTCTCCAAGCAGCTGAGAGCAGGGATTATGCGATCACTTGTAAAAAAATAAATATAAAAGGTATTTATAATGTGTTTTTATATATATTCACAAACAGTTTGTCTTTCATTTCTATTTTAAACTGAATAGGTTGTTTTACAAAGCAAGGGCTTACAAATACCATATTTTTTGCTCCATAAAACACACTTTTTTCCTCCAAAAAATGGGGAGAAATGTTTGTGCATCTTATGGAGCGAATATGGAGCCTTCGCCGCTGCTGTGTCAGAATACTGGGCCAGCCGCTCGGCTCTACTGTGCAGAAGAACCTGCTTCTCGGTCCTACCTGTTCCACGGTCCAGCGGTGTTCTGCTTTCACTGGCCGTCTTCTCTCCTCCCTGGCACCGGCATCTTCAGTGTGGGCACCCAGCTGTGGCAGCTTGCGGCTTCACAGCCGGGTGCCCACTGCGCATGCACGAGAAACGCTGCACTTTGTCAATGGCCCCGTAGTCTTGTGGGACCTATCACGTGTCCCACAAGACTATGGGGAGGGAGGGGGGAGGACCACTCCATGGAAGTGGGAGCAGGTACCTGTCAAATTCGGGTACCAAACCCCCCCCACCCAAAGGATGCAGTCTCTGGTCATCTTCTGTATTATGTCTGCAGTCTTTAGTCATCTCCTGTACTATGTCCGCAGTCTCTGGTCATCTGTAGTATGTCCGCAGTCTCTGGTCATCTCCTGCACTGTGTCCGCAGTCTCTGGTCATCTGTACTATATCCACAGTCTCTGATCATCTCCTGTACTATATCTGCAGTCTCTGATCATCTCCTGTACTATATCTGCAGTCTTTGATCATCTCCTGTACTATATCTGCAGTCTCTGGTCATCTCATGTACTGTGTCTGCAGTCTCTGGTCATCTCCTGTACTATGTCTGCAGTCTCTGGTCATCTCCTGTACTGTGTCTGCAATCTCTGGTCATCTCCTGTACTATGCCTGCAGTCTATGGTCATCTCCTGTACTATGTCTGCAGTCCATTGGTCAGAATTATTTTTTTCTTGTTCTCCTCCTCTAAAATCTAGGTGTGTCTTATGGTCAGGTGTGTCTTATGCAGCAAAAAATATGGTACTATAAGTAATTTGTAACCCCTTTTCCTGCTGGCTTTTATAGACGTCTAAATGACAGAATCATTTGCTGAGCTCACTGATTATGTGGTCACTGTGATTGGCTTTCACAGTGATCATGTGATCAGGGGTCCATCCTACCAGCTCCTGATTATCACTGTGCAACCAGTAGCCGCCAGTGACAGCTCGCAAAACTAATGGCAATGCTAGCCATATGCATATACAGTATGGGGCAGAACAGAATATGGCCCATGTGCATGCTGTTACATATATTCCTGTGGCCAACAGGAAGGGCTTAAAATATACCCATGGCTAAAATATGTCTCTTTTGAATAGAGCAAGTGCCTGAAAACATTCTAAACAAAGGACCAATTAACTGTCCTTTAGGCTTTAGGGGGGCCAGACTGTGGCCACTGGGAGTAGAAAATGCCACAACATCAGTGGGTGTAAAGTACGCCCCATTATTGGTTTTAGTGGGAAGAATGATGACCCATCATTGGTATCTATGAGAGGAATGGTGCACAATCATTGCTGTCAGTAAAGGGAGAAGTGCCCCATCATTAGTGTCAGTGGGAAGAATGGTGTCCCATCATTGGTGTCAGTGGAAGGAATAGGTCCCTATCATTGGTATCAGTGGAAGGAATAAGGCTTCATCATTGGTGTTTGGTGGGAGGAATGGTGCCCCATCATTGGTATCACTGGTGGAAATAATGCCCCACTGTTAGTGTAAGTGGGAATGGTGCCCCAAGGGCCAGATAAAGGCAAGCAAAGGGCCACATCCATCCCCTGGGCTACAGGTTGGAGACCCCTGGACTATAGTAAGGGATGATTAGTGTTCCTTTCAGAATTTCTTTAGGGCTCTTTCAGATACACAGCTGGGGGCATGTTAAAAACAGGTTTTAATGTCCCCACCTGAACTGTAACATTTTTAAACCAGGATCCAGAGTTTGACAGCACATGTCAAACGCATCCATTGAGTTAAATGGGGCTGCACTGCAACTGCGAGCTAAACGCTTGGCTTGCAGTTGTGGCAATATAAGAAATTGCTGTTCAGCAATTTAAAAATAGAACTAAAAAAAAAAAATCAGCAGATTGTCCTCTCTCTTAGTCAGTTTTCACAGGAACAAGTGTTCCTATTAGAAGATTTCCCCTTCCTCTTCTAGGGACAGCAGTACAATTGTGGGCTCCCTTTGACCAGCGACAATAGTAATGAGGGCAAACAGTGAGGGAGGATATTCCCAGCAGGACAGGCAGCAAAAGAGAGGTTCCTACCCTTTCCCATTTTGTTAAACAAAATAGCTTTAAAAAACATGTTAAACCCTGAAATAAAACTGAGGACAACCACAAGGCCTCAAGAGACCACAAGTGGTCCAATTCTGTGGCCACAAATTGGGGAATACACAAGTTGTTATAACATGAAAACAAAAAATAACAGTATGAGTTTTTTTTTCAAAACACACAAAGCTGTGCACTTACATAATGCAAAGTAAAGTTTCATAAGAAAGCACAAAAAAAATGAAAGCTCATGCAGTGGAATACAATATAGAGTCATTTGCCAAGACATAAAAGATACATTTCTGTTCTTAGATCTAACTGTCCCCTGTAACCGTTCCACACCCTTGCTTTCTTAGAATGTTCCTGCCCCAAGGTACTCATAGACTCACAATGACCGCTCGCAATGATCCGCTTCATATGTTCCACCCCACCTGCTTCTCATTATCCTGCTTTTATTATATGCACTGATTGCCTCTGTTTATTTAGTTTGCATCATTTATACAACATGCATATTTTGTCTGACTGTCACTTTGCCTGGTCACAATTAATCACAGATGTTACATAGAATGCTTGGGAAAACCTAAAGTGCTAGTGTCCACTTATTCTACAATCTAAAACTATGTCAACTATAAACTGAAGTTATGCCTTGTTAGTACATTGAAAAATGAGGCAGAATGAACGTTTAAAATAAAATACTAGGTGTGTATGTGGTTTTTGTGGTGGATGTGCATGGATTTTTTTTTGGAGCAAAAAGGATGTTGTTAAAGTATATGTAAACTCAACATCTCATATTCCTGATATGTGTCTGCTGTACCATGTACTTGTATGAAAAGTCTCCTGTTCTCTTTGTATTGCTTCCTTTGTCTTAAATAGCTAGTGTTATTGCTAGTCTCTCTGCTTTCCTGTTAAAAACTGACCCAACTAGGCATGAGAGCACAGCGTGGCCAGTTCTCTAGCTGTGCTGGGAGCTCAGCCTGCTGTCCTCCAATAATCAGAATTGTGCTGGATTGCCTCCCTGCACAGCCATTCATTGGGAATATCAGTGTACTGCTGTTTCTCCTCTCCTAGCTCCTTATGCAGGTGAAAACAGAGGGCATGTGATCACTTATAACAAATAAAGGGTAAAATGTATTTATAACGTTTTATATGTATACACATAGTTACCTTTCATTTCTATTTTAACCACTTGAGCTCTGGAGAGTTTTACCCCCTTCATGACCAGAGCATTTTTTTTTTTGCTGTTCAGCACTGCACAAATTTAACTGTCAATTACATAGTCATGCAACACTGTACAAAACTTAAATTTGTATTTTTTTTTCTTCACACAAATAGAACTTTCTTTTGGTGGTTTTTGATCTCCACTGGGTTTTTCATTTGCTGCAAAATAAGACCAGAGATTTTGAAGAAAAAAAACTTATTTTTTCTGTTTCTGTTATAAAGCATATCCAAAAAAATAAAATGTCTTCATAAATTTTGCCCAAAATGTATCCTGCTACATGTCTTTGGTCAATAAACACTCTCAATAAGTGTATATTTATTGGTTTGTGCGAAAGTTGTACGTTCTACAAACTATGGTACTGTATATATACTGGAATTTACGCAGTTATGACACTATACTAGTAATGGCGGTGATCAGCAACTTATAGCGGGACTGTGATAGTGTGGTGGGCAGTCTGGCTCTTACTGACCCTGGCTGGGAGGTACACTAACTGACTGACATCAATAGTGACAATAATACAGTGATCAGTGCTAATACTATACACTGTCACTGTACTAATGACACTGGCTGGGAAGGGGTTAACTAGGGGCAAACAAAGGGTTACCTGTGTGCCTAACAATGTATTATGTGTGTAATATGTGCTGCTTTTACTGTACTGTATGGCTGTTTATTCTCCCTGCTTTTCAGGGAGAATAAGCAGCCAGATCTCTGTATCCTGTACACAGAGTTCTGTGTTTTGTAAACACAGAACTCTGTGTGATTGGCCACAGCTGATCAACTGACTTCAGCCAAAAAAATTTGAAACCCGGAAGAAAGGCCATGACGAACCAAGACGTCGCCTGGCCTGCAGCTGACACCCGCTCGCAGTACAACTATTGTGGGCAGGCGGCAAGTGGTTAAACTGAATGGGTTTTACAAGGTAGGGGTTCACATATACTTTAAGTGTCAATGCAAGTCTATTAGTTTGTTTAACTTAAACTAACAAATCTATGTGACCAAATGATTTCTGTCTTAGCAGCTGCTCAGCAGGAATGCTGACCACAATCCTTGATATACAGATAGCCAATAGAGAAAGAATATACAAATCTGTATATATCACATGATCTGAGGAAGGGGCAAGTTCCTGAAACATGTTATCATGATGACCGGCTTCTCTCCTTTGGTTTGACATGGTTTGAGTGCTCCCCTAGGCTTTCAGTTTGCTCTCACCAGCCCCTGTTCAGGCGGTCTCTCGCCAGGTGTATGACATAATAACCGGATCTGGGACATGTGACCTCTGGTGGATGCGCCATCTCAGTGATCCCAGCGGCTGCCATCTACACACCCTTCCCACTCTCCTGAGGCTCCCTGGCTGAACAACCTACTGTTGGATCCAGGACAATGTGTCATCCTCCAGCTTTTGGGAATATGTGTCACTCCTCTCTACTGGCTTGGTGATGTATCAATTTGGGTGCTTCCACATGTCATGCTTTTTAACCCAACATTAAAGTGAATTTCTATTTTAACTATTCTTGGGCTTGTAATTTTATTGACTTGCACAGAGTAGGGAACACTCCTTTATTTGTTGTTTTGTGCTCATATTTCATTGCTTGTTAGATGAGTTGTTGGAGCTGCCCATACTGTAGTTATCTGCTTATCCCCTGAAACCTCATTGAGCTTGGTATTTGCACCTTTTTTTAACAAATCTGCATAGGAATAAAATCATAAAAATATGTAATAACTTGCAAATAGAAATAAGAAAATCACATTAAAAGGTATTTTAAGGGCCTAAAACTTTTAAAATTGTAAAATTTGTACTTCATGAAAAAATAACCATGGCTTTTCTTTAAAAGTCATTATAGCCCCCGTCTGGCAGAAAGAACCAACAGTCGGATCTCAGGACACCCTGCCAACTTTCCCTGAACAGTACAATTGAAAGACTGAACCGTCCAGCAAAATTTTTCAAAAGCTGCCTTTCATTGTTGTGATACCCTTGAACTGTTAGGTGAGAATTGTTTGGTAGAGTTACTGCATTTCACACCTTATTATTGCCATTTGTACTTCATTATTAAATAAGCATGGATTTGGCTATTTCCAGCTACTAAGTTGTCTACTCTGCATAAGTAAGGCATTTCAGATCTGACTAGTTACATGTATTAGTAGTCTCACTCCTGGGGATTGAGGAATGCTGTTCTACAAAGGCTTCCAAAACAGACCACAGCGGAGTACAAGTAATTAGAAATGTCATACCTGATCCTCTGACTTATATATCATTACAAGAATGCTGGGGCAGCCAGCAGAGCCGTGTCCTGCTCATCCACACTGGAGAGAAGGAGCTATCAGTATAGCAGCAGGTGCTTTGATACGCTCTACTTTTTACAGTCAACGCACAGGATGCCGCCGCGTATGATGTATAGCTCAGGGTCTGATGGGAAAATGATTTGTTGCACTGTCTAAGCATTTGTTTAGAAGGTTCTGTTAAATTGTTAGCTGTTGAGAAACAGTAATAGAACATTGTAGTGCAAATAAAAAAGTGCCATTTAAAATGTGACGTTGGGTGAGACTTATCAACTTTACCAAAATATAAAGCAGTGCAAAACAGAAACAGAGAGACATTTTTTGGAGACAAGTTTGCTGGAAGATCACAGCTTGATTCATAAATTCTACTTCTGCTGTTAATAGTTGTTTTCCTAGGTCTGGCATATAAATTCTAATAAACGAATGCCAATATAGTTTTTAAAGTGGACAGTTCTTGTTAAAGTAAATGTAAATCCAATCACTGTAACCTCATTTAAGATTTCTTAATCTCGTATAAGCCTGAAAATTATTTCATTAGTAATATTAAGTATTTTTCATCTGTAGCTTTCATTATAAGATCCTTAGAAGGTCTGGCAAGAAAGTTCTTATTTAAGCACTTATTTTTTAGGGTGACAACACTCTGTCTCTATCTCCCAAATACTCTCAGGTGTTGTCACCTTGTCACATATTCCCCTAGTTATCTTTAGTCAGAAGGAAGGGATTCTTCCCAATGACCACAGATTTAAGAAACATTCTTCTCATTGACCATCACTCCATTGTACTGGGAGCTGTAGATATAGTGGTAGATTAATAGCAATAGTAGTAGATTATTGGTGTGGTTTCTCTGAGTCTAAAAAGATATTTCAAGGGTTCCCTCATGTTGAAAAAGGTGAGAATGCTGTTCTAAAGTGAGCATCCCACCTGCAGTGTTTTGTCATCTTTCTTCCTTAGTTGGGGGACTGATGTACTTCAATTAAATGCCACCTATGCTCCAATTTGTCCTATGATGATGATTTCTGCATAAGATTTTGACTGAACTATTGCACAAAAAACCAACACTATGGAATAGGTCAACCAGTCTTAAAGAAACCAATTAGCTTTACCCAAGAGTATGGACCTCATAATATACACTATATTGTCAAAAGTATTGGGACACCCTTCCAAATCATTGGATTCAAGTGTTCCAATCACCTCCATGGTCACAGGTGTAAAAATCAAGCATCTAGGCATGCAGACGGATTCTACAAACATTTGTGAAAGAATGGGTCGCTCTCAGAAGCTCAGTGAATTCAAGCATGCTACTGTGATAGGTTACCACCTGTGCAAAAAGTCCATCCGTGACATTTCCTTTCTACTATATATTCCACGGTCAACTGTTAGTGGTATTATAACAAAGCGGAAGCAACTGGAAAAAACAGTAACTCAGCCATGAAGTGATAGGCCATGTAAAATGACAGAGCGGGGTCAATGCATGCTGAAGCGCACAGTGTGCAGAAGTCGCCAACTGTTTGCAGAGTAAATAGCTAACAACCTCCAAACTACATATGGCCTTCATATTAGCACAACAACATTGCATAGAGAGCTTCATGGAATGGGTTTCCATGGCTGAGCAGCTGCATCCAAGCCTTAGATCAACAAATGCAATGCAAAGCGTCGGATACAATGGTGTAAAGCACACCGCCACTGGACTCTAGAGCAGTGGAGACATGTTCTCTGGAGTGGCCAATCATGCTTCTCTGTCTGGCAATGCGATGGACATGTCTCGGCTTGGCAGTTGCCAGGAGAACAGTACTTGCCTGACTGCATTGTAACAAGTGTAAAATTTGGTGGGGGGGGGGGATTATGGTGTGGGGCTGTTTTTCAGGGGTTGGGCTTGGCTCCTTAGTTCCAGTGAAGGAAACTCTTAAGGTGTCAGCATAAAAGACATTTTGGACAATTTCATGCTACCAACTTTGTTGAAACAGTCTGGGGATGGCCCCTTCCTGTTCCAACATGATTGAGCACCAGTGCACAAGCAAAGTCCATATAGACATGGATGAGAGAGTTTGGGGTGGAGGAACTTGACCTACCTGACCTTAACCCAAAAGAACACCTTTGCGATGCAATCGGGTAGAGGCTGCGAGCTAGGCAATCTCGTCTGACATCAGTGCCTGACCTCACAAATGCGCTTCTGGAAGAAAGTTTAACATTCCCATAGACACACTCCTAAACTTTGTGGAGAGCCTTCCCAGAAGAGTTGAAGCTGTTATAGCTGCAAAGGGGGGGGGGGGGGGGGAGCAACTCAATATTGAACCCTACGAAGTAAGACTGGGATGCCATTAAAGTTCATGTGCGTGTAAAGGCAGGCGTCCCAATACTTTTGACAATATAGTGTATGCGTTAAACTGACTAATCAAATTTCACTGTGTGTGGCTAGTTTTACACAGTTCTACTGTTAGCATATCTATCCTAAGCAGTGGAGTGTCTCTAAAAATGTATGGTGAGCTGGATACTGGAAAATATATTATTAGATAGAGTTTTCCTCCATTCCTGAATATGAAGCTTTCTTGTGCACTGATTCCACATGATCTCAGCCCAACACTTGGAATATACCGGATGGCTAGGTTCGGGTGACCACACAGAGTTGGAGGGAAGGAATTTCCCATCTCCACATCTTTATTCACTTCTCTCTATCCATCAGTATACTTCTTCCTTCTGCACTGTATTTACTTACCCTTCTACCATACCCTCCAGCAGACATTTTCTCCTACACCCCATCCCACTGCTGCCCCTCTTCCTACTATTTTTGTTGCTCTCTGCAGTTATTAAATTGCATCCCCTCCACGCAGATCCTTAAAATTACCCACAATTTATACACTGGTTAGCATCCCTCTACAATCCTAGAATTATTCAGCCCCCGACCGGTGACTGCAACTGTTGGGGTTCAGTCTAGGGCTAATAGAATACAAAGGTAATCCCTATTCATTTCCCACTGGTACATTTTTTCTGAACTAGATGCATAGTAACCCTAGTGCACTTAGATAAGTAGCCAATGTATTCGAACTAATGTATTGTTGTGTAATGCTTACTCATATTATCAACTGTCCATAGCATCCCATATGTATGTTTCTCTTGTCTAAAGAAAGAGTATCTAAAATATGCATACACTTTAAGCAGCTTTTATTAAATCTGACTCACATGTAAAATATTATTTTGTTGAAAAGTGTAATCTCTAGCAATAAAAGGATAGTATGAGTGAGAAGCAGTATTTAACAATGTACATGTTGATGTTTGAGAAATGCATTCTTGTATTCACGGGAAGATGAACATGCTCCTAATTATAATGCTGCATCTGCATCATAGCTATCATTGTCAACAATGTTAAAAGTATTAAATGAGTAATAACAATTTGATGTGAACATAAGACCACAGCAGGTATTTGGACATAGACACTTTACATTGAAGCACCTGCTCAGGGGATATTACAAGCAACATAAAAGGAAGCTTAGAGACACATTCAGTTGAGACGGTATTAAATCCCAAAACAAAAGTGTAATTTATTGCAGTTTACCAATCCTTAAAGTGATTGTAAAGTTACAACATTTAGAAAAAAAATACCAAACATGATATACTTACCTGCTCTTCTCAGGTCCCTCACCGGCGCTCCTTGACCCTGCCCCCTGCTGAGTGCCCCCAGAGCAAGCGGCTTGCTCTGGGGGCACTTGTGCATACTTGCTCCCAAGCCATCCTTGCATGTTCATAAGACACACAGAGTATGGCTTGGCCCTGTCTCCTGCTCCCTCCTCATTGGCTGTGACTGACAGCAGCAGGAGCCAGTGAGAAGGGTGAAACCTGAGAGAGCCAATGCTCTTGTGCACATTGCTGGATCAAGATTGGGCTCATGTAAGTATTAAGGGGGATGGGGGGCTCAGGGGGGAGCTGCACACCGAAGGTTTTTTACCTTTGTGCATAGAATGCACGAAGGTAGAAAACCATCAGCCTTTAGAACCACTTTAAATATTGCAACTGCATTATTATCTATTGTTAGGCTTTTTTCCATTATTTTATGCTGGTGATCAAGCCAGTAAGACTTCCTATCTTAGGGTGTCTCCACTCTGGATGGAGCAGCAGTGGACACACCTTTGAACAGCAGCATTGTCATTAAAGCTGAACTCCAGTCTTTACAGCAATATTTTTTTTTCCTTATGGGATGAAAGTTTTATACAAATAAATATACACTGGCCATTGACAGCCCCCCCTGTCAGTGTTATTCTTAACTCTCTAACTGCCACTTTTGCTGGACAGTTTGGTCCGTTAAAGAAAGTTGAAATATAACAGACTTACTAGCTGGATCAACAGGTGAAAATATAAAAAAAAAGCCTAAATAACTAATCCAGCCACCACATCGAAGAATTGGTAAACTGCAGTATAATACATTTTTGAATTTAGTACTACTTTAACACTCATTGGACTCTTTTGTAAATGTGGAAAAAGTTACGCACACACCCACCCACTTACTAGTGGAAATGCTACCCACACAGTGGGGTTGATTTAATAAAGATAAAAGGAGAGAGGGGCGCCAGACTAAGTGCACTATTAGCAATGGTTTAATAGCACACAATGATTTGTAACCCACTAGATACAAGTAGGTCAGAGGCATGTGTAACAGGTGAACGTCATCCTGGTGGAGTTCCGGAGGCAGGAAGAAGAGGATAGATGGACATCTGGGGGCCAAGGCTGTGGAAGAGGCCAGGTCTCCTGACTCAAGTTACTCATGCCTAACTCAAGTTAGACATGCCTCTGACCCATTTGTATCTAGTGAGTTACAAATCATTGTGTGCTATTAAACCATTGCTAATACTGCACTTAGTCTGGCGCCCCTCTCTCCTTTTATATTCTACTACAGAGTCCAGCTTAATTCTTAAGGCGCTGCCTCATGATGGTGCTGATTACAAACTGACTATCTCCCTACTATTACTGGGACTTTAAAGTTTTAACACCTCCGCTCCATCGCCAATAATTATACCTTTTGATTTACTAAAGGCAAATAGGCTGTGCACGTGGAAGTGCACTGAAAGTGCAGTTGCTGTTGATCTGAGGGGAACATGCAAGGAAAATTAAAAACAGAATTTTTTCTTGCACATGATTGGATAAAAGAAATCTGCAGAGCTTCGCCTCATTTCAGAGCTTCCCCTCGGATCTATAGCAACTGCACTTGCAGTGCACAGCCTATTTGCCTTTAGTAAATCAACTTCACTATGTTTATAACTGACAGTAGTTAGTGCTCCATAAACAGCTTCATATATAATAAAAATACTTACAAACATATCCATCAGCAGGTGCTCAAGCGTGACCTCAATATCTTCAAGTTTAGCTGCCAGAGTCATGTTTGCAATGTCAATGGGCAGCAGAAGAAATGTCAATTTTTCTTATAAACCCTGTTCCAGAAGGTTTGTCCGTTCAAAAATATATCATCAGTAAAATGAACAATGACTCTAATTTCAGGGTGGACAACACAGCAAAAATAAGCTGCAGCTTGAAGAAAGTTCTGGGCTTCCTTTTGCAGTCATCAGAGCTTTGTTTGGGATGATATTTGTCCTGTGCTCCTTGGCTGCTCCCAGTGATTGTTCCAAGTATGGATGTGATCTGAGAACTTTGCAGCTGTACAGTGACACAGCTGGGACCATGGATTGGAACAGAATGAGACACGCTCCTATGTGACTGATATTTATCTGTTTCCATTTTTGCGCTTTTACTGCATGGTCCTGACCTTTCATTAATGCTCACGCACACTGGAAAGTATTGTAGAACAGAACAGAATTTGGCTGTGACCAGCGCTAGGCCAATTCACATAGCAGCATCATGAATGATCCTTTGTGTACTGATTGAAACTTCCTTGTAAAGCTACTAACAGAAAAAAAGAATAGTGTTTTGGATAAGGGAAATTTACACCCTCATTTTCCTCCAGTTATATTATTAGATTAGAGCTCAAAATTCCCAAAATAGGGTTTTCCTTGGAATTCATCAAAGCAAGCTTTGGCCTTCAGCCTTCTTAGTTGCTTGATTCATGCCATGAGGAAACTGGTACAGCATGTGCCTCATTTTGATGTGCAGATGTACATGAAAACAAGTGACAACGATTGCTCAGTTCATGGCATGTCTGGAACTTGGCTGAGCTTTCTTTATTCTACAAATGTCACATAAAACAGATCAATAAAATGGTATAATATAATTCAGTGATCTCTTGGCTTACCAAAAAAAACTATTCTTTAATCGTCTATAGGTTAGAGAGAGAACAGTATATCAGGTGACTGCAGTGAGTTTTTTAAAACCGTAAGAACTTCATTTTGCTTGAGGCACTTAAGTACCACCCGTCTCTACAAACTTCAAATGAAAAGTTGAAGGAGCTGGGAGGAAAATGATGGGTCGAAGAGTGACTGAATCTAATCAGATTAAGTCACTGTTTTGTTTTTCTGTCAACTCTCTGAATACAACAGGCTCCAACCATAGAAATGCAAAAAAGATTCACAAGATCAAAGCCAGATAAAAGCATCCAAGATCATTTTAATTGCTGGTAAAAGGAAAAGTCATTAAAAACCAACCAACGCATTTTGGGGGCAACACCACTCCCCTTTCATCAGGGCTAAACAGAGGATAAAACTTGTGTGGACTAGGAGAAAACAGTGACTTATGGTATTGAACTCTGCTCATGGAGTAACAATTTGACAGCAGATGCTGAGCAACTTTGAAGGATCTTGAGCCTTCATGAATCAGGAGTGAATTTGCCCTCAAAACCCAATGGATATTTTTATATGACTTTTTTTTTTAACATCAACTAAAG